GTATCGAGGATAAAGAAAGATCAAAGAAAATTTTTCTTCGAACGTTTTCCGGTGAATAAAAATGTCATCATTGGACTCAGAATTAAATTCTGCATCGAATACACTCGGTTTTATCGACCGGAATTCGTTTTCAGAAAATCCTTAGTTTGATGGTGCTAGCTCGATGGTGCTAGCTTCACACCGATATAGTAAAGACATGTTTTGAACTGATAAGCATACCTGTTTAAATTTTTCAAGTTTTCTTTTGTTAGTATTATTCATTTCATATCTTCTCTTTCGATTTTTTTCGTTGTTTAGATAGCGATTTGTGTAGATATTTACTAATATAAAAATCTTAACAATGTTTCGAAGAAAAAGACAAAGATATCGTTATTCTAATACATTCATATATAAACATATAAAAGAATACTATTAGATTCTTTTTATAATACAAAACAAAATAAGGAAATATGCAATTCTTATTTATTCTTCTAACTGTTGTTGGTAAGTTATTTGTAAAGAAAAAAGACCTTTTATTACCTTTTGTATCAATCTTCTTAATAGGATTTATTAGTGCGGTGAACATGTATCAATATTATACATGTAGTAATCCAGAAGATAATGGGTGTGGTGATCCATTTAATAAGAAGACCATGGCCGATCGAACAGAAGAGGCTGGTGAGCTAGTGTGTGTGGCAAGATTTATTATGTTATTTACATAATAATTATTTTATTTGGGTTGTTTCGCTTTTTCCAGAAAACAAAAGGTGAAACAAGTGGTACTACATGGATCACACATTTGCTATCAGAACGTGAAGAATGTTTAGGTATCATGAATAGTTGCAGAGAGCAGAGTTCGTCAGAGGGGAAGTTCACTGTATGTTGTTGCAATTCAAACTTATGTAATAGTGCACTAAAAACAGCACAATCGTCTTTTGTTCTCTGCTTAATCATAGGAACATTGGCTATCCCAAGCTTCTATATATGCTTCTAATAACCTTTAATTTTTCTTCCTTTTATGTATTTTAATCAAGATTCTTTTTATAATTAAATATTTTTTTAATACTGATTTCAAATACAAATACAAAGTAAAAATATTTTCGGAATGCCAACGTACCGTACGGAAATTAGTGAATCGCTTACAGTATATTAATAAGAGTCTATGTCAAGTCAAACTAGAGTTCAATACGATTTTGACTAAGGATGAATTATCGATCTATTATAATTCTCACCATCGTTTTCACGATTTTTCTATTTTCAATAAATGAATTTCTTTGAATATAATATTTTCAAAAGTTTCATGAAAAAGAAATGCTTTTGTACATATTTTGTTTCTTTGTAATTGATAAACGAAGGGAATAATCAGTTGTTCGATATATAAATTTGTCTCGTCGAAATCGATAGAAGATTCGTTTTAACCATCTAATAGAAATAAATGGTAAATATCTCTCAATATTATATTTAAATACAATATGTTCAGGATATTTTAAACGTTTTAGTAATATAATCATCATTTCAACTGATGAAACGGGTCTAGGACAGTTGCTCGTATGGAGAGTTGCGCGCGGACATTTGCTCGGTAGGATATTTACGCGCTCGGACACTTGCTCGATAGGACATATACTCGTTGGGACAATTGCTCGCTAGGATATTTGCTCGTACAAGAGACTTATGAAAAATGTGAATAAAAGAATGGAAAAGAAACTAATAAATCAAATTGATATCCGATTGAAGAATGATCGTCTTAAGGAACAAATTGACTTAATTTTTGTCCGGTTTCTTTGATTGATAATTTAAACTTTATGATAAGCCACATTGAATAAAAGATATTCATCTATAAATAAGATATGTAACAGTCATTTTACAAAAAGAAAAATGTCTGTCACTATAACAAAAACGTCTAAAGAGAAACCTTTATTAATATATAATGGTTATTCTTATACAATTGATCAGAAGAATGAAACAAAGATTTTGTGGAAATGTATTTATGCAAGAAAATATGTTTGTCATGGTCGATTACATACAAAATTAAATTATGAATTTATTAAAACTGTTGGTCAACATGAAAACCATATTGGTAACTCAAAAGATGAAGCAACTCGTAAATATTATGAACACTTACGATCTGAATGTCAACAAAATCAAACAACTACACATAATGTTTTAACACAAACAAACATCGGCGTACCTGATGAAGTTCTTGTTTGTTTACCAAGTACTTCTAATTTAAAACGAAATATTCGTCATTGGCGTCGAGAACATACTACTGAACCAACACCGACAAATATTGATTTTCCTGTTGTTCCATCAAAATATCACAATACAACACGAAATTCTTCTTTTTTTCGAAAAGATACCGGTCCAGGTCCGAATCGATTCATATTATTTTTTACTGATGAGCAACAATTCATCATGGAAAATGCTGCAGTAAGTTTTCAAAGGTTTACATTAAAAAAGTTATTGATTTTCTTTAGGAATTTTTTATTGATGGAACATTTAAAGTCGTTCCAGAGATTTTTTTTTCAATTATTTGCTATACATGCAAGTTATCGTGACCATGTTATTCCAGTAGCATTTGTTCTTTTACCATCGAAAAAAGAACAAATTTATCAAAAAATGTTGGATGAAATTCGTCAAATGGTCCCAGCGTGGCAACCACGTAAAGTTATGATGGATTTTGAGAAAGCTACACAAAATGTTTTCGAACGTACTTTTCCTGGTATTGAACTTAGTGGATGTTATTTCCACTTCTGTCAAAACGTTCTTCGTTTTTTACAGGTAAATTTAAAAACAATACTTTTATTGTATAATCTATAATACTAATTGTAATTCTAGAACCATGGTTTCAAGCAAAATTACGAAACAGATGTAATGTTTGCCGACAGTATACACAAAATACTAGCATTAGCATTTCTTGATCCAACTAATGTTATTGATGGTTTTGAGTTACTTTGTTCGAAGTTAGACAATGTTTATCAACCAATATTAGATTATATAGAAGATAATTATATTGGACGAATACGTGGTCGTACAAGAAGACAACCATCTTATCCAGTTGCATTTTGGAACATGTCGGCTCGCGTAAAACTCGATCTTCATAGAACGAACAATCACGTCGAAGGTTGGCACCGAAAACTAAATTGCGCTTTTCAATGTTGTCATCCAACTTTATGGGCATTCTTGGATAAACTAATTAGAGAAGAAAATAATGTTCATGTGGATATTATTAATGCTATGACCGGAAGACGACCACCTGCAGGAAAACACGAACAATTCAACAGACGACTTCGAGAACTTGTAGAAAATCCACATCAAGATATATATGATCAAATAACATACATTGGACGTTTACTGTCTCTATAATATTAAAATTTTTTCTTTACATACTCTGTTATTATTTGCTATCATTGTTGAATATTTCTTGTAATATTGTTCAATGTTCCATAATATAATTCATTTCTTCTCAATACTCATCGTCTCTATTTTACATTATGCGAGCAAATATCCTAGCGAGCAATTGTCCTAACGAGCAAATGTCCTATCGAGCAAGTGTCCTAACGAGCAAATGTCCGAGCGACTAAATGTCCGTGCGCAACTGTCCACGCGCAACTGTCCGCGCGAGCAACTGTCCGTTTCCCTGAGAGAAATCGATCATAACGAATCCAGGTTTGTGAACATGGACATGATAATGTACTTGGATAGTTTTCATTAAGTTTTTCGAAATCACTTTGAGATGGTGAATGGATTGTAACAGAATTAGTTTGAAGAGTAAAAGTAGCAAAGAGAATGATGATAGTGAGAGTTGTGGTGAGAAGAAAGAGAAATATTCGTGTGACAAGTAATTGATCGATGAGAACCATGTCTTTTTCATCATCGAACAGATTTATATTACCAACAAAACTTCTAACTCGTCTAAGTTTATCCATTTGCTTAGAAAATATTCTTTCCACTATATTGCAAAAGAAGTTCAAATATATATCCTTTACTCGTGCAGTAAATATCCGATAATTGCACAGTTAAAAATAGTCGAAAACTTGATTAAAGAGAACGTTTCTCTCTCTTATTTTGTTCAATAACCATCTGTCTTACCTAATGCAGTAAAAGTTTTCATTGTATTGTTTTCCGCTTAAAAATGCACGACATCGGTTTTTATATTAAGAAATGCAGAGTTACGCTCCCGACAACGGAATAAAGAAAACTAATGGACTTCACAATATTATTTAGTANGGTCAATAACAATTACACCATTCGGTGCAGAATTAAATTCTGAATCGAATGGACTAGGTTTTATGAACCGGACAAACTTGTGAAAAAAAGTTTTTAGCTTACACACAGTTTCTTCGTGCTAGCTCCTTCGTGCTAGCTTCACACTGATTTTTAAAATAAAATAATAATCCATTCAAAACAAGACGTTTAACATTAATAAAATGGCGAGTAGACGGATATATTGATGAATGAATTTTCAATGGTAATGTTTTAATAGATTTTAAATCGAAATATTTCTCTAGAAAATCAACTGATGCTGTTGATGAAAATCGATTATTATTAAAAGTAAAACAAGAAAAATAACTTGGTATACTATAGATCCATGTTTGTTTGCTATTTCTTGATAATAATCGATTACATGCTACATACCATAGTTTTTCTTTAAGCTAAAATGACGAACGATATGAACGAAGTAATATCGAATTGGTATGATTAAATATTAATTCATTATAACATATAAATTGAAAATAACATTAAGATTAAAGATAAATATTTTAAATTAGATAATTGAATTAAAATTTCTTGAAATGATGAGGCTGTGGGTGAGGGTGTGTTATAGTTATAAATCGACGATAGGATGTTCTTATTCGCTTTCACGTCATCATCAGTTCAAAAATAATGTTTTATTTTGGGTTTTGTATAAAAGCAATTGATACACCTGTCCATTGGCAATTCGTATTGCATTGAACATTAATCATATTATTGCTGCTTAAACGTATGATATTCGTAGTCAATAGAGGTCGTTTATGACCATCGGGCCAAAGATACATTAAACGAATTTCTCCTCTTATATCATGGCCATCGAAATGAAATATAGGTTGATAATGAACTTTTTTTTGAAGTATCCAATTATATGGATCTTGTATTTTGTCAATATCGTCTTTTGTGATATCGATAATAACACCTCGACCACCAAATAAGAATAATGGTTTTAATACATAATTTTCTAGATCATCGGGAAGATTATTAATAATTTGATTTAAATAATATGTTTTCGGTATACATTCACCTTCCAAATGGGGTAAAAGATATTTGCTTATACGATAGAACCAATGAGGATGTGTTATCCATTCGACATCAAGATCTTGTCTTAAATCAATATTTTCATTGAAAATATTTGGTTTATCAGCAATTTCATCGAAAACTAGACGATTATAAATTCGTCTGATTAATTTTCGTTCTCCTTGACGTTCATAAAGTAATTGTTTACCTTCTTGTCGTAAATCTGTTAATGAGACAATCGATATACCGAAATATTTTTGCGTAAAATAAAAGTCAGCAGCTGTATGTTGCTCATGAGGATTAACATCCAATAGTACGACTTCATCAGGATGATGAGGTCCGACAATAGTCTCTTTAAATAAATCAAAATATCGAGTTCTATCTAATTCATTAAAATAGATATTCCAGTTATCAGCAATTCGAAATATTGTATGATAAGACATACCCAAATCAGCTTGTAAAGCATATATAGATGGAAATCCTTGTAATTCAATTAATCTAGGTACAATATTTCCATTTGTATCTTTATGTGTTCCAAAATCTATTAGGATAAAATGTGGATGATCATTTTCATTTGCACAACGCCATCTGTCAGGGATAGAATCTTCAGTTATTCGTTTGAAATCCGGACGTAATATAAAATCAATAATGTTATTACCAGCAGCAATAATTCTATCACGAAAATCATTGGTAAGAAATACTGGTGATTCAGCAATACGAAAACGAATAGGTGATGGAAGATCATTATTCAGGCTATCTAGTAAATCTTGATAATTATCATAGGTAAAATTAGAATTGAAATTTGTTCGAATTTCATCTGGTTCCATATTTCACTTAAGAATTGTTTCAACTAAATATAAATAATTCTGTACGATTACTGATCTATTTTTTACCGTATCCAGAAATAAATTGTACTTGTATAACCAATGCGTGTATACTATATCACCTATTTATGCTATTAATTAATGTGTATGAGTCATGTTTCGTTTCGTTCCGTTTCATTTCGTTTACATAGCAATATATTTTATTTTGTATTATTATTTTTTTATGCGCAAATTCAAGCGAGATTAAAATCAAATTCTACGTATGATAAAATATTTATTGACTTTGATAGTGAAGGTATGAAGTGTTAAAAATAGCATCACCATCCTATGAAATTCTTATTTTTGTTAATAATCAACATAATTTTATATCTTAAAATTAATATTCTCTTCTGCTCTTCTATGGTAACTATATTTTCTTGAAATACATTATATTGAGACATATACTAAAGGTATTCGTTGTTAGTTCGATCGCAAAATCCATTACAAATCTTTTTACGACAAAAACTTAGTTCGTATACTATTTTGATGTAAGATTTAACTAAAGAAAATATTTAGACATACTTTAAAAACTACAAAATAGTTCGAGAAATCTTCTATTTTTTACATGGGTAACGCAATAAACGAATGATTTGTGAGTCTCTAGTATAGGGAATGAAAATAGAAACTCCAATCACTGAATATACAGTGGATGGAATAGATAATCTAGTGACTAGACGTAGGTAAACAATGAAACTCACGTCAAAAAGTCCTACCTGAAGTGCACTATAATAATAAATGATGATGAATGTAAGTAGAAAAGATGGTAATAGGTGTTTTATTGGATGAAATCAAATAAAATACTGAAAAAAAACGAAGATATCACTAGACTGGGACAAAAGACAGAAAACAATAACATAAATACAGATCAAAAGAAATGACCTGAGAAAAATAGGCGAAAAGAAAATAGAACTGCGTAATAGAAAAGAAACTACGCAATAACAAAGGTGATCATGAGAACTAACATGATGATCAACGAAACGAAGTCTAACAAAAGGAAAGAAAAAGAATAGATACATGTATGGAAACGAAAGAAAACAAATAGACGATAGCGTCATGAAGTAACAACTATGACGCTAACAAAACAGAACCAAAAAAGGTTCTGAAAGCGCTGCAGAATCAGAAAAAGTTCTGAACCACTCCTTTTTTCTTTCAGAGTACGATAGCTAAACTCACCTTCACCCTTTCATCCACCACTCAAATCCCTACTTCACCCTTAAGATATTTGCTTATTAAAATGCTAGTAAAAACATCACATAAATTAATCATATCTCTCTAGTTTTATCAGCATTGGCTTACCCTTATCGTACAACATTTGAATAAAGTCGTTATATATAAATAACGCTCACCGAGGCAGACTCGCTTTACCCTCGACTGATTTTTTTAAAATGAACGTCATTATAGTGAAATGGTTTCTCGAAACGTTTTTTATTTCGAAAAATTGAAGATGATATTCACATACACAATAACGTTAGTTTTCAGTTAACGATACGAATTCCACGACACGAAAACAAGTTTAATGACAGGAAAGACTACCTTTACCCATAACTGCAAACATTTAGAGAATTAGATAATGCTCGCCGAGGCAGAGTGACTTAGCTCTTCACTGGTTTTCTATTCATTCCACTCATTTCGTAAAGACTTTTCAGATAGCAACTGGCGTTCATTTACTGGAGGTTATGGAAGGAGACTCACACAGCTAAATAATATAACGTATTGAATGACTGGCTTCCTGATTCATTCATCCTATATATCCAATTGGTCAGCTTTAAAGATCGCGATACCTGATTGGTCAATTTCATAATCCCTCACAGTTATCGATTCGCTTCATCGATCTTCGAATTCTATTCGTGAAGTCACTATCAATGTTGACTTTTGATTCTGACATAAGCACACCCTCATATACAGTATTTGTCGTCATATAACCCTCTCTCCAGACCAGAGAATATCTGATGTGTACATATGCATATCCATAATATCTTATCATATAAGTCCATTTATTGCTGCGGCCAACCTCTGTTTAAGACCTAAGACTCTTTCCCTGGCATATANTCTATTCGTGAAGTCACTATCAATGTTGACTTTTGATTCTGACATAAGCACACCCTCATATACAGTATTTGTCGTCATATAACCCTCTCTCCAGACCAGAGAATATCTGATGTGTACATATGCATATCCATAATATCTTATCATATAAGTCCATTTATTGCTGCGGCCAACGTCTGTTTAAGACCTAAGACTCTTTCCCTGGCATATAAAAACTAGGCTCGGTTAACCTTTTAACGAATTCCAAACAATATTTTGTTAAATTTTGAACATTTTCGAAAATAATGTTTTTTTTACCTTTGATCTTTGACCCTGCCACAGACAAACAGACAGACAAACTATTTTTTTTGTATGACCCTCCTTTCAGTCGAGGGAATAATGTAAAGAATACGTTTAGTAAAACAATCGACGATATTTGTAGAGTAATAGATTTCAATCACATTTAACATATTATTGAACACAAGTTATAAAATGTCATTCGACTTTAGAAAATTTTTAAAACTCCTCAATATATTTTCTATTACAATCTCAACTGAAATCCAATAATTGGAAATTAATTGCTCAAGCTCTATTAATTGGTTAGAATGATAATATTATTATTTCAATGAAAGATCTTCAAGAACGTACATATCATTTTGTTCGATATAATCATTCGAATGATATAGTCTATTACCATTAATACAATCAAAACAAAGAAAACATCTGAAACTATTTTATTCAAAGTAGAGATTCAATCAATAAGGAAGTTAAAGATGAATTTTAATCATTTATCGATGGATTATAGTATTGTACTGTTATGTTAATGCTGGTACGAGAAGAATAGTTTAACATTTGAATCGAATGGATTTTGTTTAATTATAAGACTTTCTGCATGTGTTCTTCGACTACAAATGGGTTATCAATGTCGAGACATTGAAAAAAGAAACACTCGTGTTACTGATAATAAACAAATGCCAACTGTGACTTGTATAATGGATTAAAATGTATTTGTGTTACACGTGAAACATGAATGGAAGTTGTCGATTAGAAGGTGATTTTATTCGAGATTGGATTGTTGATCATTATATGAATCGATCAACAACTGCTGGCACAAATACTAACACTTGGATTGAATACAAAGAAACGATTTCAACAATAAACAAAGAAGTTGTTCCATATAATTTCGATTGTCATTTGCTAGCCATGTTTATTATTTCGATAAACAGAAATTCCAAGATAAATCGTACGAATGTGATCTAACACGTACTTAGTTGAACGACAAAATTGCAAATATGTACTGTTAGTTGATGAAAACGAACTCATCAATGCATTTACAATTGATCTAATTGAATCTCATATTGTATTAGCGTATGATCGAATTGATTCTGATGTTAATAATTTAACTGTAGAGAAAGATTATACACATAAACTTGGAATGCGTATCAATATCACAAAGAAACCTTATTTAATTGAATTAGAATCAATTATTGAGAATATTCAAAAAAACATTGTCAAGTTCTTCGTCAGAATGATGTTCATATGAAACATTGTATTGATAAAATGACAAAAGTTCGAAAATGGTGACAACACAGCGAAGAATTATCAGTTATTCCCAAACCACAGTAGAAATTCCATGTTGTACTTTGTTTCTCTCTCGTATACAACTGTCTTATATAATGAAATCAAACATAAAATGAATAGGATTCAGAATTTAAAAATTCGATCAATTTAAGAAATTTATGAAGGAATGAAAAAAAAATGATTAAGATCGAAATTTCGAATTTGAACGAACAAAAACTATTTCATGAAACTAAAGTTGAAGGAATTGATGATCGATATTATGCTGTTGGCATGTATGGGATAAGAATTTTTCTCATATAATAATTCGAAATTTTTTTTCAAAGATTTGGTGACAGCATAAAAAAACTTTCATTCAGTCATTAGAAAACATTCACTATGAACGGAATATATCGTTTATCGTTCATAAATGTAAGACTCACAATTTGAATTGAAATATTCTATATGATTCGTTATTTATACATATGTGGCCAG